AGGTTGAAGTCAGCAGGTGGTGCTGCGTACTCTGCGGAAAAGCACAAGCATGTCGAGACTTTTGTTGATTTTGTTTAAATGCCGAAACTTCATAGTGAAGTATGTTTTTCACTAGTTCAATAGTTTTTGGAAGCAAAAGTTTATGAAAGTAAAACAACATACAACGTAGCTGACGCAAAATATGTATTATATCCAAATAAAAAGAAAAAAAAAACAACGACTGAAATAACTGAAAAAATGCAACATCGCAATTTGCGAAAAGGAAGAATGTTTCATCCGACTACGAAGCTCATCTCACTTAAAGTACATTACTATACACTCCGACTCCATTCAACTTCATAATTCGACAGTTTATCATCTCTAAATCTACAAAACTCAATCTGCAAAGTATGGTTTGGCCACAAGGCCGCCCCATTTCCTCGAAAGTGGGGACTTTAAAATCCTCAAGGGCGGTCTGCCCTTGAGGTCTTTATGCCCACATTAGAAGTGAGTATAGTGCATTTATTCGCTCCAGAAAAAATGCTTTGGCAATAATCGAACCTGACCAAAACATATCATGATTTCCTTAACTTTTTTCCGTCTGTAACAAAAAAATTAAATTGACCTCTTCCCATGCGTCTACGGCGATTTTTATTGTCGCCAATGCTTCACTTAACAACAATTATAATGTGTACATTCTGTCCGAATTTCGTGAAATCCGTGGTGTGCTATCTTCTCTGATTTCATCGAATTTGAAGTTCACTCAGACGTCTGTCTCAAAAACCTTCTCTACTTGGGTCTTCTACCTAAATTTTGCAAAGTTGCGGAAGTCATGCGCTTTCACAAGTTCGATCAAATGTCTAACTCTCGTGTGCCTTTGAATAGATGTTTCTGAAGGTTTAACGTGGGTACACTATCTCGTAGGTTTAATACCACGGTGCCCGATGATACACGGGTAAATTTTGCGTCTCCCGTCTACACTGGAGAAGCCGCATATGTTTATTGTGTATGGTCCAATAAACCCACTCTGGGGAGTGTTGAGACCTCTTATTACCTCTTATTATTCACTTAAGGAATGATAGAAACCACAACCACCACGATGCCTCCCGAAGGAGTCGTACCCAGTAGTCAGCACTTACATATTGGTCTACTGCTACGTTCAAACTGGGGAATGTACATCCTAACTTCCACCGCGGTTTCCACGTGTATGAAAATATGCAAACTTCCCCCCGAAAAATCTTGGCAAGCATTAGACCATATGTCGAGTCGATGTTACAGTGACGCAAATATTGGCGTTTCGATCACACTGATAAGTTGTGGTCATGCCAAAAGCCGCTCGGCCCTTTCAATGGCACACACCACGATTACTCCACAAACTGTCCTCAAAATTCTAGAAAATGCATTAGTTGCAAGGGTGATCACGTTCCTGATTACAAACCTTGACCACGGTACAATAAAATTTCCGAATTGAAAAAAGACGCAGCAGAACGTCTCAAACTGGAAAGTTACTCTTTTGATCAAAGTACTTACGCACACCCAAATAATCCAAATTTTTTAATTTCTCTGAAGGCGTTCCCTAAGTTGCCTCCACCAGTTTTTCAACCAACAATTAAACACCTAACACTGAGCTTACTGTGTCTTTTGCCAACAAGAAGATGATAACTCCCTACTTCCAATATAAAATTTTCAAATCCCGAGACTGTGACACAGACAATATTCCTTAGGACTACGTAATAATCGCTGATTCTACCATTTTCTCTAACTTATCTTAAATGTCTGATCGTATTGAAAAATTGCATAATATCAAGCCGTCCTCTAAATCAAATTCTATTATTAACTCCGCCACACGCATATCTCCCGATCTTCACAAGAAGATTCTTAATCAACAACCCTCGTTCGTAGCCCTAATCTCTCTCAATCAATATTAAAAATAGCTTAACTTATTTGCACTAGTACCCGTAATAAATTAAAACAGCGCGAACAACACTTTCATTGTAATGACATCTCCGTGACTTATCTTTCTGAAACTTTTCTTAAGTCTCGTGATTGTTTTTCTATTACGAATTATAAGGTAATTAGATTCGATCGTATTTCCAACGCCCCTCATGGTGGTGATGTGGCAATCCTTATATCTAACAAGCTTCCATTCTCTTACACTTCTAATTGTTCAAATTGTGAAGCTTGCAGATACATCTCACTTCGGGGTCTCTTAATCACTAGTTTTTATATTTCACCTAATTGTAGTGTTTCTGATTCTTCATTTAACAAGTTATTTTCTCTCAGATCCGACTTATCTGCATTAGCATGTGGTGGTTTTAATGCTCACAATGTGTATTTGGGTAGTAGTTTCTCCATTTCAAGAGGCAGACAAATTGAGGATTTTCTTGAAAACAGCAGTTCAGCCTTAGTAAATAATGGTGTCGGTACTCATTTTTGGTTCATCTCTTCTTGCATAGATCTCTTGATCTGTACAACTAATCTGAGTTCACTGAGTACCTGGAAGACCCTTAACAACACCTTGGGTAGTTCTCACTGTCCAATCGAAATTGGCCTTCATTTGCATTTTATTACCCGTTGCCATTCACACACCCATGTTCTAAAGTATATTAAACCCTTCTTTATTTAACAATACTATCCGTAACATTTCTAATACCATCCAAACAAATCACTCCTCGGGCTGTTTCTTTGATAGATTCTCAAAGGCTTCCACCAATGCTCTAAGCCGAAAGTCTTCTAAAAAATCACACCCTCCTAATCCTTGGTGGAACGCCGCATGCAATCGAGTTGCTGCCAAACTTAGACTCGCTGTTAATAAATACAAAAGATCTCCTTGTAGACTAAATTTCAAATTTTTGGTCGATGTTAGAAAGGAGCATACTTCTACTCTTAGGCTGGAAAAACGTAAAGACTGGAAACAAGTTTACAAAAATTTTAATAGAAACATGTAAATTTCAGATCTTTCGCGTACTCTGAGAATTTTTGGAGGTATCACTTCCTCCCGTTGTTCCATACCCACACAGCACTTTAATGAATTCTGTGACAAGCTTGCTGGACCTTCTGGTCCTATAATCCCGTCTATATCACTTGATGAGAAATGTGATAATTTTTTTTTAAGTGACATATCTCCCTCTGAACTCGATAAAGCTTTTAATCTCTTAAAAAACTTTAGCTCCACGCTAAGCCTCAAAATCCTGCATAATGAGAGCAGATTAATCTTACTAAACGAATTTAACAATATTCTAATTACAGGCTATATACCCTCTTCTTGGTACGACTACCAAATTTTCACTTTAAGAGAAAACAATAATTCGCCAGTTAATCTTAATTCTTACGGACGTATTGCCTTAGTTTCCACTCTTAGAAAAATTTTCGACATAACCCCAGCGGTTCTGGACCTTAGCGTTTGGTTCTGTCAACATTAAAATCCCAAATTCTATTCTACTCTCTTTGAATCTCCCTGCCAAAATTTGTAAATTACTATATGACCTCTTTCTCTATGAGAACATGTTCATTAACAATGATGATGTTCCCTCCCTCAAAACCTCTCAATTCTGGGCTATGCTGACGATCTTGTCATTGTTGTTCCAATTCTAATCCAGATTTGTATAGGCGCAACTTGCAATCTGCCCTCGACGTTATTTCCTCTCGTCTTGAATCACTTCAACTCACACTTTCAGTCAATAAGAACAAATGCTTTGTCCTCTCATAAAAAATAAGAGACCCCACGATTACTCCTCTGCTCATCTATGGTTCTTCTACTACGGTTGTTAAAACTTTCAACTTTTTAGGCTTTGTCCTACATTCGAAACTTTCCCCAGCAGCTCACATTGACAAAACTACCAAACAATGTTTTCAACTCATCAATGTATTGAAATCCATTTGCGTTATTTATTGGAACTCTGATCCTTCTTGTGTGATTGAACCGTATCTTGGCTTAATCAGATTAAAATTAAAACACGCTTGGTCACTCTAATTAGACATCCCAAAGAACGACCTTCTGAAATTCTGCAGAATCCTATGGAAATGACATTGTCCGGGTCTTGGTGGCATGAATTCTACACACAGACTAAGCTTGGAACAGATGGCAAATGCTATAACTCTGTAAGATTTTGTTTACTCGTCAATTTTTCATTCAATAAAATTCTATCTTTTGAGAATCATCTGGTCTTACCTTTCATTTACAACTTTATATCCCTCAATATCTCTTATTTCTTCTTTAAAATTTTAGCTGACAAAACTAATAACTTGAACATTCTAAGAACTCGTGTACATAGCTTATTCAAACTTCCTCTTGGTTCTCAATATTTTCGACCTGTAATTAAATTCTTCCCAATCGGACAATCTCTGTTTTGGCAGAGGTACACTTCCGCTTTTTAATAAAAACTTTAAAAGAAAAAAATAAAAAGGCGGACATATAACTCACAAAATTAAAAAAAAAAACTTTAGTCAATCACTAAAATAAATTAATAATAATATTATATTCCCAATCTAATCCCAACTTCATTAAGGTCTAAACAAAGACTTTTATGTTCATATTGGGCCTTTTTTACACATCCCACCAAATTTTCGGTTGTTAATTTGCTGAATAACAGAAGAAAAAGAGGTAAAGATTATATAATAATAAAAATATATATTTTCTATAACTCCTAATTTCTGAATATAAAGCGATTGTTGTCGTAATTACTCCTGCTTTAAACTTGAAGCTTCGTTTCAGAAAGCGATGGTAAAAATTAGTTTCTATATAAGAATTTTCTAAAGATAGAATTGAAATACGCTCTCACCTCTTCCAGTATATATGGCCTCATCTTAGAAGTTTTATTTCACAAGCGTTCGTTTTTATACACGAGCTGTGTAAGCATTGATATGACAAATATCGTCTCCTCTTACAGTATGTGTAACCTTTCAACACGTCATTGTTTATTTCACGTACATCAATTTTTGAAATCATTTAGTCAGCTAATATTAACACACGTTATCGACCGTGTCAAATCGCTATTAATAAATTGGTAATAAATTAAATGAAGAATTTTTTAAAGGAAAAACTTTACCGAAATTTAAGTGGCGGGAAATTTACTTAAAAACAAATCTAATTTTCTTCCACGATAAAATTTTGAAAGGTCTAGCAGAACGATGCAGAGTTAGATTCAGCAAACATTTATAAATACTATAGTAATTTTTATATATTTTATATTTATTTAAGTCATTCTTATGATCGATAGATCAATCCATACCGTTTTCATACATACCTGAAATAAAATCATCAACTTTATTGCTCAACCGAGAGGAAAAAGAAATTTTTTTCAAAGTATATTGCGTTGTCTTTATTGCAGATGAATTAAACCTGTTGTGTGGCACGGAAGATATAAATATTCAAGGAAGCACCACGTACAAAAATGAATGAACCAAATTAGAAATGTAACAATCATACACTTCTTTCTCACGTCGTTAAGAATGTTCAAACTCTCCGAACTAGTAAGATGGCTTGGTCTAACTGAATTTGAAATAATGATAAATTTATGTGGCCTCCTTGTATTTACGGTAACACTTGCTTTACGAATATCTGGAATTTCCAGCAAAGTCATTGTGGATTGGTTTACAGTTTTCAGTCCACTCTTCTGTATAGATATTTGTAATGCGTATTTTTGCGTAATCATCGGCATACGTATGTATTTGGATTCAGACAATAAGCGTAAAGCTCTACATCGGTTCTTGTGGAGCACATATTTTTTGTTCTTGGTTGCTATTTTCAAATATTTACTATGTTTAAAATTAACTGGACAAACTGGTTTAGAATACAGTGAAGTTTTTTCGCCTATATTTGTATTATTGCAATTAGTAGCTGTGCGTGCCTGCCAGTTGCCTAATTCTATATAAATTTCACATAAATTACATATAAGCATCCGTATATATTCAAATAAGTTATCAAGAAGTAGTTTTAATTATATTTTAATAAAAAAGACGTCTTTAATCAGAAATTTCAAGAACTCTGGTTGGACTTTTCAAAATATATTAATTGGCTTTGTAAAATATTACTAGGTAAAGCCGACTATTTTTCAGATTAAATCTGTATTTTAACTAGTGGCTATGTAGAAATCTGTATGACGTCTAACAAAAGTGGCATGTTACATATTTTCAAAAACTATTTTGGAAGTGAAAGTGAGTGGCTGTGCTTAATATTCAAAGCTACTGATTAAATCTTGACTTTGTATTACCTTTTTTCAATACGTCTTTTTTGTCTAACACTTATTGCAAGTAGTTGTAAAATATATATATAAAAGAAAATATAAGTCCACACAAACTAATCTAAGAAAAATCGCCCTAATTGAATTAAGTACATCAATTAATCCTTTATTCATATATATCTGTTTTGTAGGTGTGTAATATTGTGAGAGAAACTGAAGGTTCCGATAAATTAAAGTGTTTTGGAAATGGTTTTTATTTTGCTCTGTCATTTTACTAAAACTTACACAAACATCCGAAGAGCAAGAGTTGATAAATGTTACGCGAAATATTTCAGAAACAAGTGATAAGCGACAAAATTTAAAATGTTCTAAAAAAAAAAATTATAAAATTTATTGATGGAAGTAGAAAGAATAGTTCAGATAAAAATATGAGTTGAGCATAAGCACAACCTTTTGTAAATGTGTTCTCTTGCGCAAGTAGCTAACCTATGCGTACAAATTTTCGTATATTGCTTTTCACAAATTTTTCGCAACAAGAAATTTTACACACGCTTGTTCTTCAAAAGTTTTTTTTTTCATTTTTTTGCTTTAATATTAATTTTACCATTAGGCTAATTTTAATATTAATTTAATATACTTACGGTAGCCCAATAAAATTTACGAAAAATTAAGGTGTCTCTTATTAAAAATTGCATTTATGGTTTAAGGGGAAAAAAATAAAGAATCTTTTTTCGAACCTTTTAGTGATGTGTTTTCTCTATATGTCCACTTTTTCATGTTATAATTTAGGATTGAAGTATATTTTTTGTTTATAACTTTATCTTAAGGAAAAAAAAAGCTTGAATTATTATTTAATGTAAATTTTTATTTCTTAATAAATATATTTTTTGATCCTACTGCGTAAACGTATAATAACAAAAACCTTGACACTGATTATGTATGGGGTTGACCCTAGGTCACATTTTCGAGTTTCTACCTTTTTAGCCATATGTATGTACAAAAAGGGTGAAAAACGCTCTCTCAAAATTGTCAAAACCGAAGTAAGCAAATTTGCTCACGCTTGTTTGATTTAGACGGTCGAATCAATTAATTAGTTATTTTTTTTTAGTTTTTACTTCAATTGCGTAATAAGTACTTTTAATTTGGTAAGCTTCGGTAAAGGTTGTAATTATTTATATATCATCAATCTTTTCATACATCATATACCATTGGTAAAGCGCAAACGAGGGAGAAATAATAAAAACTCATCACTCTACTGTATATATTGATCTTATCGTTAACCGGGCTAGTTTTTTTTATTAAAAACGAGGGAAAGGTAGGTAAACTGTTATTAAATAGAAAAGTAATCTTAAGGAATATATGCACATCAGGCGAAATGGTTTCTTCGCCCATATCATATTATTTAGCAGTAGGGGAACATGAAGATTGGCGAAAAGGAATCTTGTAAGACATAGATTTTTTTCAATGGAATGGATCGTGACAAGTGTTAATGCCAACACAAAAGAGGAGCTTTATAGAAATTTGGTGTTCCTGGTGGTAGGGCACGTTTTGTGATTTTCTTGTCGTTTTGAGACGTTGTTGTACAATAACCAATTATTCAAATATTGTGTAATGTGTAAGTAGAAGCCGGGATTGTGCTTTTTGCTGCCTGACTAGCCCAGCTACACTTACAAAAAAAGAAAAGAATTGATAAATGACGAACGGCGTGTCTTGTCTAAATAGTCTTATGATCCTGTTAGTATTGTTCTTTCGTCTGTTAGTCTGACCTTATGTATCTGTAGGTTCGCCAGGTCATTGTCCTTTTGTTACATTCCTAACGCCTACATACACTCACACTTGTACCTCATCTTCACTAAACCTATTACATACCCATTATTATTATTATTAATTTCACCAGAGAAATAAATTCTCAGAGTAAACTCTTGAAGCACTAGCATCTAAGGCTATCGGCTTTTATTAGAAACTCCACCGCACTTGAGATTCGAACCCACGACCACTAAGTTGCTAGTCGAGATTCCTCGCTTTCGGCCACTTAGTAGGATATATTATTATTACATACCTAGTTCATCATGATAGTTTTTTTTTTTTGCACTTCTTACATTTCTTATTTGCTGTGGATGCCTATTTCCTTCCTCCTGGCATTCTAGCAAGGCCACTTCGACAAAATCCTCTAAGCTTCCACGTGATGATGTCCTCCATGATACGAACGATAGCAATTGGCCTACAGCCAAGCATCCCTTTGAAGCTGTATTAAATACTTGTTTGTTTTCTTCTTTTATTATTGTTATTTTGTTATTTAAATAGCACTCCCATACGTTTACATATTACCTTTACAAAGCCGTTTCTATGTTTCCTCATTTTAACAACATTTAAAATTTTTTTTTTGGAAAGTTGTTGAAAATAATAGCGATAGTGACCTCCACATTTTTATACTCGTGTACAAATAAAATTTCTTTAACTTTTCTCCAGCGTTTTATTTCTATCGATTTGTGTTTGCTTTTATACAAAATTTTGCATGTTCTTTAGCTAACAATTTTATTCTCATACACAACTTACAGCGGTTTTAATATGACAAAATTTTCACTTAATTGCGATATTTATTTTTCTCAATATATATTTTAAACTGCCATAAATGCTTCTTTTTTATTTGTTATTTTCTTTCTGTTGGAAGTTTTAACATGACGAGAATTCCATTTAATTGCAATGTTTAGATTTCTAAACATTTATTTTAAATGGCCTTAGATCATTTTTTCTTTTATTTTCTGGTCCTTTAACCACCATGCATATGTCTTAACTCCCGTTCTGCCGCTAAAGTTTTTCTTTCCTGCCAACGTCCAACCTCTGGCTGTGTTCATCTTAAACTCCTTGACGTTTATTTTACCCCAAAACCGACTACCCGCTTACTATACAGACGGACTTCGAACTTTGATCGGAAATCCTGTTATTACGAGTAAGACTTCTCTATTTGTGTAGAGCAGGGAAAAAGTCGACTAAAAGGAAACTCCCTATACGCACATACGTGGACTTTAGAATTGCTGATATTTACTGAACCCACGTTCAGTTTCGCAAGCCCACATAAAATGAAGAATATTTCATAAATCGCATGTTTTTGTGTACACATATATCAATTTTGTAAGAATTGCGGCCTCGATAATAAAGCTATAGCAGGAAGCTTTAGATTTCCTGGATCAAGCCACGACTCGCATATGTGAAGGCATTGCGATCACAGAGCTTATCTAGAAGACCATTGGATTGGAAATCAAAAAAATGTTTGGCTCCTTGATAAGCGATTATAATGATGTCGGGCGCTATGTAGCTGTACCATTCAAATACTTTCAGGTGATATCGGATACCTTTTAGAGTAGTGGGTAATGACATCTTACAAAACTCCAACCAATCCCATCAAACAGAAATGTAATGATATGCGTTGCAAGGCGTGGAATATTGTTGAGAAACGCATTGGTATAAAGGTTAGTGTAAAATTCACTTTTCAAAAATGTAAATTAAGCTTTTATAACTTTCAAGATCGGCATATAAATAAAGGAGCAGAAAAGCAATTATGACTCAATATGGGAAAATTCGGAAATGGTACCGCTGGTCTTCACAATATTTGCGTGTACTACAAAATGTAAAATTCGGAAGTTAAGGATTTAACTACCGTAGTTCTCACATCTTATTTTGACGACGGTGTAAGCATTTTACTAGAGATCTCCCAATTGAGGCGAATAAGTGAGGAAATAAGAACCGGCATATTTTCTGCAATTGAGATTGGATCGCAATAATTTAAAAAGCATAAAGAATGAATGGGTAACGCTGAACGTGTTTTGTACACGCGGTAATATAAATATTTTATTTTGTTTAGTAAATGAAGGAATTTTGTATTTTAATCCATTTTTGCTCGATAGCTGCTTGCTACGTAGTATTACTTGGTTTTTTGTAGGATTTAGTGTAATTAGTGGAAAATTTGTTGGGTGCAGCTCGACTCGAGGGTGCCGCTTTTGGTACTCAGTATAATTAAGCGTGCCACATGTCAAAGCAACATTAGTGATGGCGTTGGCCAAGATGTATGTGGGAAAAATTATCATGGCATTGCCGGTTTGATGAAAGCAAGCTGACCATGTTGGAATGTTTTAAATGTGATTTATAATACTGTGGAGAAGAATCGTATTCTGTTGAAGGAGTATAAGGATGAGCGCCAAATAGAATTGAAAAATAATGAGGTAAAAGTAGGTAACTTGATCAAAACACTTAAGAGCCGGGTTGAACGGAAAAAGATTGAAAATGTCATTGAGTAAAGCAGTGCATTTGATAGCAAGTTGTAAGCAGCCGCTCAAATGAGTGAGAAAGGGGTTGAAAAGCTGAACGCCTTAGCGGTCCAAATAAAAGGCAGAAGGTCCTTGTCATTAAAGCAGATGCTCCGCTGGTAATAAAGCCGAAGAAGAAACAGAAAAGTGAGGGTACGGAAGGTACGATTGGAAAAAAAGTGGACCGAAAGAAATAGAGAATGTCTGGTGTGCGCTGCAGGAACAATTGTGTTTGAATGCTGTGGTGGTGAGGAGAAAAAAAAAACAAAAACCGCGGCTGAGAGTAGCTTTCTGAGTAATTATAAAGTTAAGGTTCGATTATACCAGTGATGAGCTTCTGGATAAATTGCGTTGCCAGAGTTCTATTTTTGGTCGCTAATCACTTGTTGTGGAGTCCCATGGAGTATCCAAGAATGCCAGGACACTTTTAGTGCTGTTATCCACATTGATTATTTATCCATCTCCAAGATTCTGGCGGAACGCAGTTTGCGGGTTTGTTGGGAACGTTGTCGAGTCAATGATTGTGCAGAGGTGCTCGTATGTTTTAAGTGTAGAGGCTTTAATCATATCGCCATGAATTGCAACAATGATGACACCTGCCATAAGTGTCGCGGTGGTCACGACTCTGAAGGATGTCTTAAACATCAGGTAGCTAAGTGGCAATTGTATGAAGGGAACGGTCACGGCCTCGAAGTCAATCGCCTCATCTTAGAACAAAATTGGTTATGATGGACAATCTTAACTTAGGTAAAGGTAGTGTTAATATGGAAATAGCTCTGAAGATTGTTAGTGGAAAACATAAGGGATTTGATATATGTCATCTCACTGTTCGAAGTTTTTTCTGTTCTCTTTAGAAATAGATGTTATATGAAACATGGTTTAAGCCATACGTTGACGACAAAGTTGGTGGAATAAGCAGTTCCAATGCTGTCCGCCATGCCAGAACCTACACTGATAGAGGCGGTGGTATCGCATTCTATATTAAGAACGGTTTGAATTCCAAGATTGTGTTGAAGTCACAGCGTAGTGGAGTATGTTGGTGTTGAGATAAGTGATAACAATTCCAAATGTCTTGTTAAGTGCGTATATAATCCAAACAAGTGTAGCAGTTTGCATGTAGTTTTCGGTGCGTTGGATGAGGTCTCCTTTGCGTACAAAGATATATTCTGTGGGGATTTTAATGCTGATATGTTTTTTAATGATGAGCGTGTTAGGCAGCTATGTGATTCGATATTAGCTTCGGAGTTGAAATTGCTCAAATCATGCTCTATCAGCTGTGCTCCTCGTTGCAGATCGGCCTTGTTAGATG